AAATTAAATAAAATAATGAATAAAAAAATGGGTATGGCTCTTTACATTACATTTATTCTACAGTTGGTTAAGTCTGAAAATCAAAATAAACTAAAATTAAATTAAAATTACTTAATAAATAGCAATTGAGTTGGGCTCTTTGCATTACATTACTTTTTTGAGTCTAAAACCTAAAATAAAAAACTAAAATAAAACAAAATAATAAATAAAAAAATGGGTTGGGCTCTTAACATTTCTTCTACAGTTGGATTAGTCTGAAAATCCCTACAATAAAATAAACTAAAATATGGGTGGGCTCTTTACTTTATCTTTCTTCTACAGTTTAAAAAGTCTGAAAACCCTTAAAAATTTATAAAATTAAATGAAATTAAAAATAAAATAAAAATAAAACAAAATAATTCATAAAGAATGGGTTGGGCTCCTAAAAGGGAAAAACGACTCACAGCAGTAGAGTGCTCCTTCTTCTCATGAAGTCGAGCGCTACGGCGCTGCTCGGTGTGACAGTGGCGTTTCAGAGCATTGTACACTTGGTTGGAGAGCTTCAGGTCCATGCCGATCCCGTCTCCCACCTGCACCTCCGGAGCAAACTGCATCCATACGTTCAGAGACTGAAATGATTACAACTGTAAGAACAATTTAACATGTCATTTTGGATAATGTGTGAACAAGCCTAACATTGTCCATGCGTGCCGTGTTCTTCCGTCCACAGATGTCCTCGTCATGTTTGGTGGTGATGTTCTTGCCCTTTCCAACAAATCCCTTTTTAGGGGTCGTTGTTGGTTTGTCTGAGTAAGTAAATCAAATGCAGTCAGGTAACAAAATATTAACTGCTAAGGGCACATAAAAGATTTTCTGTGTAGCACAAACAAGCTCACCAGCTCTGTAGGGGTCATGGCGAGTGTCTTGCCAATCAACCTCATCTTCAGAGCTGTCACTGTCCTCATACGGATGAACCATGCGGTAGTTCTCAAAGGATATGGAGACTGTAAATGAAATTAATTGGTAAGGTTTTTTTTTGTACATACATACATGCATAAATAAATAAATGTTTATGTATGTTTGTTTATTTATGTATGCATGTATGTTATATTATGTAATATCAGAATCAGAAAGAGCTTTATTGCCAAGTATGTTTGCACATACAAGGAATTTGTTATAGTGTCACAAGCTTCCAGTACACGGAGACAACAACAACACACAGATAATAAAAATGAGATGTGAATAAAATACACATGCATAAATATAAACCACAAAAAAAGAATAAATTGTATGTACAGGTGTGCTATAGATAGAATAGGAATAGAATAAAATAAAATAAAGTTGTAGGGATGTACTAGGATTTAGGGTGATACATAAGTATAAGGTTATTGCACATACTGTACTTTAATTGCACAATGGGAGAACATTAACTGTTCATGAGGTAGATTGCCTGGGGAAAGAAACTGTTCTTGTGCCTGGCTGTCCTGGTATTCGGTGCTCTGTAACGCCGACCAGATGGCAAAAGTTCAAAAAGGAGAAGTCTTGGATGTGATGGATCCAGAGTGATTTTCTGAGCCCTTTTCCTCACTCTGGATGTATACAGTTCTTGGAGGGTAGGCAGGGGGGCACCAATAATCCTTTCAGCAGTCCGAACCGTTCTCTGTAGTCTTCTGATGTCTGATTTTGTAGCTGAACCAAACCAGACAGTTATTGAAGTGCACAGAACAGACTCGATGACGGCTGAGTAGAACTGTTTCAGCAGCTCCTGTGGCAGGTTGAATTTCCTCAGCTGGCGAAGGAAGTACAACCTCTGCTGGGCCTTTTTAACAGTGGAGTATGTGAGTGTCCCACTTCAGGTCCTGAGAGATGGTGGTGCCCAGGAACCTGAATGACTCCACTGTCGTTACAGTGCTATCCATGATGGTGAGTGGGGGGAGTGCAGGGGGGTTCCTCCTGAAGTCCATGATCATCTCCACCTTTTTGAGCGTGTTCAGCTCCAGGTTGTTAAGACTGCACCAGACAGCCAGCTCTTTACCCTCCTGTCTGTAAGCAGACTCGTCTCCATCCTTGTTGAGGCCGATGACTGTAGTGTCATCTGCAAACTTCAGGAGCTTGACAGAGGGGTCCTTTGAAATGCAGTCATTCGTGTGACTTATGATGTGACTTAATGTGTATTTATCACATGTACACATGTTAAGCTCGTTAACGTTATTGTGGCGAACTTTATAAATGATAATGGAATTAGGGGCTGGAGTCTCAGGTTGACAGTAATGAAGTACATTTACTTGAGTATTGTACTTAAGTACACTTTTTTGAGATACTAGAGTATTATTTTTTTCTGGAAACTTATGACTTTAACTACATTTGAAAGACAAATATCGTACTTTTCGCTCCACTACAATACTTTCAAGTTCCCCGAAGTAGAAAGTCGCTACTGTAGCAGCTTTGAAAGTCAGTGGGTGATTTTTCTTCTTCTCCAAAACGTGACTTTTTTTCAGACAGTCTATCAGTAATCACTAATGTAGAGTTACATGAAGTGATTTCCCAGCATTTTTTGAACACTGAACAGTTGCAAATGTGATATTTATTAACAACAATTCAATAATAAGAAGTTAATATTGTAATATATTAGACACAATATTGTCTGATTTAGCAAAATTGTGTAAACGAAAATATTACCTATAAAAGCCCTGTTGTGTGTCTCCTAACAAAACAGTGTTTGACTGAAGCAGCACTGCACAGACCGCTCTGAGCATGACATCAAAGTACTGCGAGAGCGATTAGACAGCATTTTTGAATGTTTGTTTTGATGTCAAATAAATCTTGCTGTTTTTTTTTTTTTGTATTTTTTTGTTAAAGCAGTGTTGCTGTTGTAAAGTTATACAGCTACAGTTGTGTTGCTGGGTTTTAAAGCAGGTTTTTTTTAATCAGTCTGTATTTACAGCATATTGTCCACTTTGGTTCAAATGTGGATGAATATCTACACGTAGATGTGTGCTCATGCTGCCAGAGCTGTAAGATCGCTATAAGATCACTACCATGCTGCTTTTGTGGAGGTGTTTTTATTTTCGTTAACTCACTTGTTTCATTTCTATAGGTTTTTAACAGTCTAAAAGCTCTTTATTCCAAAGATAGTGCAGACAAAGAGAAATACGTTTTTAAACATCTGGTATATTTTCACAAGTCAGTGGAATATTTGGAAAGTTTTACTCTCCAAGCACATCATCAAAACTGCGCTTTTTCAAATGTTTGAACATAGCCTACATCTAATCGACTCACAAAGTACATTTTCACCAGATCTAATAGCTAGTTGATTCATCTAGATACGCCATTTATGCCAAAGTAAAAACCGATTATTTGCACGTTGTCGTTTATTTTAACATCTAGTTTACTACTTTATTAACCCCACAAGGGGCAATCTCATTGCATCTAGTGCGCTCTCTAGTGTATGACTCATGTAACCGCATCAGACGATCGAAGCGCTGGTAAAAGATCATGTGACACTGAAGACTGGAGTAATGATGCTGAAAATTCGTGTTAGGTATAAACGGAGGTCGGAGCCAGCTCCAAATGGGTGGGACTTGAGCTCCAAGTAGGCTGTACAAACCTCCTGGGGCTTTTGATTGATTGATTTAATGTGTTGTACATGACACAGAGTTACAGCTTGTGTTTTATTAACGTCTACACCTAACCCAACCCTAAACCTACCCCTTACAACAATGCAAAAATAGTAATTGTTGTACAGTGTGAGAAAAATTACGGTATATTGATGTGCGCATGCTCGCGGCATAAGTCCCTCCCCACTTGGAGGTCTCCGGGCTGCAGCGATACATACTTGGAAAATTCAGCTTTGCATCACAGGAATATATGTTACTTAGAACATATTCATATAGAAAACAATTATTGTAAATTGCAATGAAATGACACAATATTAGGCCTACTGTATTTTTATCAAATAAATGCAGCCTTGGTGAGCATAAGAGACTTCTTTCAAAACATAAAAATCTTAAACTTAAACTTAAACTTATGGCTGGCGGTGTAGGCTATATTTACAATAAAACAATTTAATGAGCACAGGCTATTTGTTCATCAATTGTATATCTCTGGAAATCAGTTTTGCCCACTACTGTATGAAACATATCCGATATTTATTTATTTATTTTAGTGCTGTCAATTTAATCGCATCCAAAATAAAAGTTTTTGTTCACATAGTATGTGTGTGTACTGTGTATATTTATTATATAAATACACACCCATGCATGTATATATTTAAGAATTTTTTTTTACGTTTATGTCCTCCTGACTACCAGGAAAAAACAGTTTTGTGAATTTAGTATTTTGTCATGTCATTACATTGTTTAGAGCATAAGAAAAATTTTGAAAAATAAAATTTTTGAAAAATGATATTTTATTCATATGCTATGCCATCGGGACTTTAAAAAGTCCTGTTTTTTTTAAAATAAAAATACATGAATAGACATGAAAAGGCAAAATTTGTCAGATTTAAATGATAATTACAAAACATTATCATATTTCCATAAGAGTGTTACACTTGACCACTAAATGAATGTCAGCCATATTTAAAGACTAAGGAGAGGGAGTGGTCATGGAGAAACATCCAATCAAGCCCCGAATGTGCTCTGTACAGGACATCCAGATAAAACTGTGACATGTAACGTCTCAGAGAAATCGGTAAAACATAATGTCCTCTACAGAGGACAAAACTCCATAGCTTTTCTTTATGCAAAATGTGTGTAAAATGGCCATAAACGAGTTTTTCCATTATATACAATGAAGCATAAACTGTATCTAATTTGCATTTTTATGTGTATTTGGGGCAACATAGAATGAACAAATAAGTGCAATAATGGGAGTAATAATTAGCAAGATTTTCATAATAATATCTCATATTTAATAGGAATATTGATATTTAATTTTTTCTCTATTCATTTTTTTTTTTGTCGTATGGGAGCTTCACCCATCCTGTTCGGCTCTGGACCAATACAGAGTGTCATCGGTGAGAATCGGAGCCAATCAGAGGACAGGATTCCGGTGATCTAGCAAAAGGGCGATGCGTCCATGTAACGGGACTCACTCCTCACATCTGCGTTTACTGCCAGCCACAAAGCCCATGCTCACGGAATCGAGTGTAATATAAACTTTAAGGTAAAAGCGACATTTTTTCTCACGCATTTATGGACTTTATTGGGTTATTTGGACTTGCTGGGGCAAATACTTGTGGTTGAATAGTTCATATGTTTAACATTTACACGGCCGCAGCATTCTTGCTAACGCGATCCTTCCGCTTTGTTGTAAAAAACAGAAGCAATTCATCCAAAACGACAACGCTTCGGTTTGGCTATGATAAATATGAACTGACTGCTTTTAAATCGCCAACATGACGAACGTTTCCAGGCTGTATGACTGGAATGGCTGAACACTATTTTGGCTTGACTTGACTAGACACATGATGATGCGCAAACACGGTCGAGTCTCTTTCTGTTTCTCGCTCTTTTCAGATGCAGTTTATGCTGCTCTTTAGCAGGCAGGGGAAGCTGCGGCTGCAGAAATGGTACGTGCCGCTGTCTGACACACAGAAGAAGAAGATCTCCCGGGAGGTCATTCAGATGGTGCTGGCACGCAAACCCAAGATGTGCAGTTTCCTGGAATGGAGGGATCAGAAAATAGTCTACAAAAGGTTAGAAACCCGTGCTGAATGATGTGGACTGCATGGAAGGAACTACAGGTCCACTATATTTGGTACTTTCCATGAACATGATAGACTTGGGTGTTCCCTGACTTTAAAAAAAAAAGCATTATAGGCACAAAAACCTTGTTTTTTGTGTTGTGAGACATATTATATATGTTTGATAAACTGTGATCTGACTAACCTAGTAAGAAAAGCTAGTAGTAACTAAACCTTTATTGTTTGTATCACCCTCTTAAAATGGTAAACATGGTCCATCCCAACTTCAACAATTAAAATGACACAAATGTTAT